GACTTACCACTCCTGTAATTATACTTAGGCAGATCTCAGTCTGCCTGGCAATGCTACCTTTGAACAGCTCTAAATCAACGCAAATTGGAGGCATTTCTTTCTCTTTTTTTTCACTTTTTTTATTGTTGTTCAAGTACAGTTGTCTCCATTCCCCTGCCTCCCCACAACCCCAGCCATCCCCACTTCCTACCCTTGATCCTACTGTCATTTGGTTTTGTCCATGTGTCCTTTATACATGTTCCTGAAAACCCCTCCCTTCTTTCCTCTCATCATCCCCTCCTTTATTTTCTTTTTTAAAAAATATCCTCATCTGAGGACATTTTTTTTTGTTGCTTTTAGAGGGAAGGAAGGAGAGAGAGAGGGTGAGAGAGGAGGAGATTGGGTGGGGGGAGACATCTATGCAATATCTGTGTGAGAAAGAAACATTGATTGGTTGCCTTCTTGTATGAGCTTGACCAGGGCAAGCACCCTAATTGGGGATCAAACTCGCAACCCAGGCATGTGCCCTGACCTAGAATTGAACCTACAATCTTTTGGCCGGTCCATGGGGAGATGCTCCAACCTACCAAGCCACACCAGCCAGGGCTGGAAGCATTTCTAATTTGGAAGAAAGAGTTTCTGTGTCTTGGGAAATTGAAAAGGGGCAGATAAATCCTTAAACTCAAAGAAATCCTATTAAGGTGATTGATATAAACAATGTAATTTTTTCACTCTAGATATAAACTTTACCCCTAATTTCCTTTCAGTTCAGTTCAGCCTTTCAGCAAATGTTTAATAAATGGAGAGGCAAGGCAGTATGCTGGGTGCCAGGGACAGACATGAAGATGAATAAGATATGGACTCTCCCTTAGGAATTTTAGAAACCAGGGGAGGAGAGATATATTTTTGATAGGAAAAAAGGATAACTTTCAGTATTGTTTTTTTCTTTTCTAGAATAAAAGCAATTTCCTCCTAGTCTTGGATGCCAAGAACTTTCACGAACTGGGCCGAGCAGAGGTGCCTGTGCAAATGCCTTACGGGTTTCATGGCACCTTCGTTCCCATGTGATGGAAGAAGCACAGGGTTTGGGAACTAGGTTTAAAATGAGTGTGCTCTGTACAAAATAGATACCAAAAAGACCACCTTACATTTCAAACCATAAATGTCTGGTTTTTAAATTTCTGTTAAAAAAAGAATATAGAAGATAATTATGGCTTTATATTTCTTAGGGCTTTTCCTTGAAGACATTAAGCAAGTGGTGATACAACCTCTTGAAGAGAATTTTAAATTTGTATTTATTGGATATATCTTCTTCTAGGTAACAAGAATACACAAAAGAAAAACTAGAACTGGGTCATTACCACCACAGATAGGTGGGTGACAGAGGTCCTCACACTTGGAAGAAGAAATACATATAATTGTAGATAGTAGAATATGAATGTAGATCTGAAAATCACCTGTTTTTTTTCTATCACAGCCTGGCTGTTGCCACTGGTCCTCAGGTCCTCATAGAGGACAGGAAGCCAGCTGTGTCATGCTTGATGGCTTCTTTTAAACTAGCTGTTTCTCCGCAGCTGTGGTTGAAGCACCCACCACCATCTCCCACCCTGCCCCCAACTCAGCCTTGGCAGAGTGTTGTTTTGAAGGACTCAGCTAAACTCTGGCATGTCTTCTAATCTCTGGGTATATACCATATTTTGCCTTGTATAATGAGCAGTTTTTTGCCTAAATTTTTGAGGGAAAAATGAGGGTGCTGATTATGCATGGGTATAATGATTACAAACCATGGGCATGATAATGAGTATAATAATCTTGTGTATAATGGGCACAAACCCATAGGTATGCATTATACACAATGAGATATAGTAGTTCTTCAGATTAATGAAAAATTGGTACTTCTTCATTTAGTTGGGCAAGAGGTGGCACCAGAGACCATTTAATCTTCACATTTCTATCCCCCACCAGTTTTCACTAATAGTATAAGTCAGCCTCAGTCTGTCACCTCAACCACACTCTTGACAACACCATCAAAATCCCTTGATCTCTTTTCCTTCAGTTATACTCCTTCCCTCCACCGAATTCCAATCCCGGGCCAGCTAAACCTTCCATGCTCCTTCTGCATGTTGTGTATTGCTGTAGAACACGCCCAACATGTCTTTTGGGAGCAAATGTGAATTCATGACTGCACACAGTCCTGGACCACTATAGTTTCTTCTCAATTTCTTTAAGAGTTTTTCTAAACATCACAAACTCTACCTCTTTAGTGAAGTGTTCCATGCAGACAGATGCCACATATGAAGGTTTACATTGTGACAGTAAAGTAAAAATTCTAAGTTTTGTGCTTGGGTTAGTGAGATACAGAACAATAGCAGGTACACAATGGCACGAAGATGCCTAAACAGAACTAATATATCAGATGTGGGAGCTTAGAGGCTGAGGTAATCATAAGAACATAAATCCCCTGATATTTCACAAAAGTCCTCAAGAAGGCATGCTACTTCCCCAGAGAAGACAGGGAGGTGTGATCTTACCTGGGTCTGAAGGGTGAAGGAAACTAGTTGACATCTGGGAAGTACACAGATCTGATCATGTCTCCCCCATTTATAAACCTTTACTCTATCCTATTACATGGGGAGTGAGGTTCAAACAAATAAAGGTTAGTAATACAATCATAAGATTTTCACCCAAGGATGCCTGAATTCTGCCTTGGCCCTGCAATCTATGAGGTTCTTGAAGAAGACAAAAAGGGATCAATGCTATTCTGTAATCTAAGTGCATATGCTTAGTAACCCAATACAGAAAGTTTTGGTAAAACCGAGTGAGCATATAAATAAGGCTCAAAGCCTAAGCAGGCCCTCTTTCTCTCCCTAAGCCCAACTTATCACTAGCCAGTGTCCAGACACTCAAGGGATATGCGGTCCACAGTGAGGGGAAAAGGAATTAGGGTACACCCTACTGACCTCATCTTAACTAATTATATCTGCAAAGACCCTATTTCCAATATTTTCTTTTTTTTAAAGATTTAATTTATTTTTAGAGATAGGAGAAAGGGAGAGAAACTTCAATGTGTGGTTGCCTGTCATGTGGCCCTCACTGGGGACCTGGCCTGCAACCGAGGCATGTGTCCTGACTGGGAATCGAACCAGCCACTCCCTGGTTTGCAGCCCACACTCCATCTACCGAGCCATACCAGCCAGAGCCATTTCCACTATTTTCTTTTGAAATTACATTTGGCTGGTTTTTTTATTTAAGATTTTATTTATTTATCTTTAGAGGGGAAGGGAAGGAGAGAGGGAGAGAAACATCAATGTATGGTTGCCTTTCACACGTCCCCTGCTGGGAACTGGCCTGTAGGGAACCGGCTTGCAACCCAGGCATGTGCCCTGACTGGGAATCAAACCGCGATTGTCTGGTTCGCAGGCCCGCACTCAATCCACTGAGCTACACTAGCTAGGGCTTCCACTATTTTCAAATAAAGTTATATTGTGAGGTACTGGGGGTTTGAACTTTAATATACTAATTTTGGGGGGGGTACAACTCAACTGATGATGGGATCACTGAGGGGGAATTTAGTGAGTACCTTTAATATAGAATTAGCTTAAATAAAAACGGTTTTAGAGCAAGAACTGCAAATTCAACGATATATTTTAGTAAAGTGAATAGGTAAAATAATTTCTCAGAAATTTTTTATTTCTTCCCTTTTATTTTATTTTGATTTTTTTAAACTTTTTTTTAATGAGTATGGTGTTTGTGTAACCACTATTTGAGTACCTCTGCTGTAATGAATGCTCAGGAAATACTGTCTATAACATAAGTGATCTTGGTTAAGTCATTCGCTTATCTGGGCCTGTACTTTTCTATCTGTAAAGATAGTTTCTATATTAAATAAATCTCTTAAGTTTATAATTCTTTGAAGTTCTTTCTTTATAGCACAAAGGGGAGATGAAAAACATTTGTTTTAAAGATTTTATTTATTTACCTTTAGAGAGTGAAGGGAGGAAGAAAGTGAGAAACATCAGAGAGCAAGAGATACATTGACTGGTTGACTCTCTCACACCCTCAGCCTGGGACCTGGCCCCACAATCCAGGCATGTGCTCTGACTGGGAATCAAACAGGCAACCTTTCAGTTCAGAGGCTGGTGCCCAATCCACTGAGCCACACCAGCTGGGGCTAGAAACACTTTTGAAAAATGTTTGAAGGGTGTTTCCTACATAACATATAAATAATTTAATGCAGAACAAACAATACATAGCTGGAGACCTGAGATATTTGAGAGAAATTACCTTTGGGGCTTATCTTTCTACCACACCCATGATTTCATCTATCCTTCCCAGTGCCTACAACAGTTCCGGCCTCACACTAGATATTCAGTAAATATTTAATGAAAACATGAATGGATGCAAGAGGTGACATGGTACTGGTGCCGGTAGGTTGTATGGATATTTCTTATGAAAAGGTGTGAGTAAACAAGACCCTTTCATTCTGGAGGTGTCTACATTTGACATAAAATTGCTAAAGTGTATGTGTTCACCTGTGCATGTATCCACATTATACCAACTAGAGTGATAAGTGATTTCATGCATGCGTGTGCATGAGAACAGCTTGAGAACTTTCCTTAGTAAGAATCTTTAGAAACAGTCCAAAGGTAGTATCTCTGAAAGCCACGTGGTCCGGCACTTGCCATAGAATTCCTGCTCCTTTTATGCTAAGAAGGCTGGCACTTGGGTTTTTCTGAGTAACCAGCTACTGGAGGTTTCTATTGTAATCCAGGGCTTTCTAGAAGTGAACGGGAGGAGCGTCTCACAGAAGTCCCTCTGGGCCCCAAAAAATACCCGGAGAGACGTGACCTCAGGCTAAACAGAAAAAATCGACATTAAAACCCTAGTCATTTGACCGATTCTAAGCATGCCCACCCCATCCTGAGTTTTGGCTATCCCGAGATCGCATTCTACCATAAGCCACGCCTGTTACCTCCTCCAGGCCGGCAGAGGGAGCCCAGCCACAGGGTGTAGCGGACTGCGCAGCCGCGGGGAAGCTCCGCCCACCGCAGGCTCCTCCGCACACCCTGCGGCCCGCGTAGAGAGGAGGTACGGTCCGCGCGCGCGGGCTAGCAAGGAAATGAGTACTGCCGTCTCCGGCCGTCGTCGCAGGGCACAAGTCTCTCGCTTGGTCGTCTTCAGCGCGACCCACCGGCTGCACTGGTGGGTTGTGCCCACAGCGTCAGTGGTGGGGGCGGGGCCCGGCGTGAGAAGGGCAGGTGTCGCACCGACGCCGGGGCGGGGCGCGCCCGCTGTTGTGGTAATGGCCGCCAGCCTCCGTTGGCTGCGCTGTAATGTGGCTACTGGAGTGATCGGGGTCCGGAAAAGGCCGTGAGCGAGCTGTGTAACCCGAGCCGCCTGCGGAGTAAGATGGTTCTGTGACCTCAGGTTCCCCTCATTATCTCAGAGGGTTGCTGTAACGTTCACAGGGGTTAAATTTGCCCAAATTACATAGTGCCACGCACATCGTAAACAGTAAGTGGTAGCTAATACTACATGCCAAGAGCTACTGGGACCAATATAATTACAACATGCCTAGTTTTATCCCCCTTTTACCGAAGATACCATGAATGCAGATGTTCACTTTTTCTAAGGCAGTTGGAATTTGAAACCAGAACACTGAATGCTTTATGACACTAAAGAAGTTCTGACTTCTTTAAGTCTGAGGAGAGTTTTGCCACTCATTAGTAAGTTCCACTCCCCGAGCAGCCGCCTACTCAGCTATGAAATAAGGATAATGTGTTTCTTGCGTGCTTGCCGGGTCTTGTGCTAGCTAACAGGATGCAGCAATGTTCAGCACGCATCTGTCACTGCTTCTGAGTCGAGTGTACTATCCTGTCAATACGGTGGAACGTATCGTGAGATAATTTTGTGCAAAAGCTGTGTAAACTGTTGCACTGCACGTAAGACGTGCAGGAGCAAGAGAAGGTGAGGGAAATAATAAAGGGTCTCGAAAAGGGTTGTGTAACAAAGCTTGAATGTGTGACGGTAGTAAGGACTCGTTAAAGATGCAAAAATTGGACAGATATGGGTATAAATATCCCTTAAGCAAAGAGTTCTCTGCCTAGAACTACAATTGAGTATTGAAATTTTAAAGTTTCCCTTATTTGCATGCCCCTCAGTGGACTGGTGAAGTTATCAGTAGGCAGTAGTTGAGGCATAATAAAGCAAGATTGTTATAGAAGAGACTAATAATAGGTCATGTAATTATTTTTCAGGACCAATGGGTTTTTAAGCCACTGAAGGATAAGCATCTTTTTTTAGTCATTCAGCTGTGCCTAATACGTAGTAGCTACTCGGTAAATGTTTGTTGAATTGAACAATGGAAAGACCTGGAGCAGATCAGTTTTTGGAATCTTGCTGTGGAACAAAGGGAGTTGAGTTTGTTTATGCTAATTTGTTTAGTAAAGTAGTCTAATTAGGGAGCATATAGTGTTTCCTGGCATAAAGCTGAATAATGAAATCCAATTGATTTACGATTCTCCATGTGGTGAGCTAAATTACTATTAATAATTTCTGAAGGGTTTCAAAGGCTAGAACAAGTAGTAAATTTAGGGAACAGGGGGTGTTTGAACTGGTGTCGTGTTAACTTTGTTTTTGTTTTTGCTTTTGTTCTCCCCACCCCATCAGCACATCTCTGAGTAATGAAGAAAACCTAAAACTGTTTGGGAAATGTAACAATCCAAATGGTCATGGGCACAATTACAAAGGTGAGAGGAAAACGGATGCAATTTTAGCCCTTTCAATAGGAGCAGAAGAATATTTAGCAAATGTAATCTTAATGAGTAAAAAGTCTTATGGACAGAACAGTAATGCTTTGGGCCATGAATGAGAAGTTAAATGGAAGTTCAGAATGAAAACAGCTGTTGCCTTCGTTGCATTTGCCTTAACTTTTACCTTGCAATTAGTTGTCTGCTCTGTTACAGATAGTCCAAAACAATGAGTGGTTTAAAAAATTTTTTTGTCCTAGTGTACATGAGATTCTTTTGACACCATGTTTCATTCTAATTAGGTGTTGCTGAGGCTTATGTTAAAATTAGATTATATTCTTTGAGTAAATCATGACTGACAAAAGGGGAATATTGGCTAGGAATATGCTGTATGGGAGGAAGATAGGTTGGTCTAAAGCTTTGCCAGCAGTGTTCCCAGGAAGTAATTAATTTATGCAAAGAGTAAGAGAGTTCATTCTTTGAGATATAGCTGATGTCTCAAAAAACAGGTACATGAGCCATTGAGTATCACAGCATATGGTATGGTGGAATAAAGACCAGGAAAAGTATTGGAAGATCAGGATTTCTAGTTTAGTTACTGCTGTTTACTTGATCTGTTAAATGATATCTCTCATTCTAGTTTGTTCATTTATCATATTATATCCCATGGTGTTTGTATGGAGTTGAAAAATATAAACGTTATTAATTTGTAAAGCATTCTGATTATGAAGATTTTTCAATACTTCTTAATTCTTCATGCTTGTTAATTTACAAAACATTACTGTAAACTGTATACATTCATCTAAGTAAAAGGATAGAGTTTTAGCTTCCCTCCAGCCCCAAAAGAGTTTTAGGTCCAGTGGTAGTTTTGTTTGCTTAGAAAGCTACTGCCCCAAATTGGACCAGACCGATGTGTGGCTGGACTTCTTCCTATACATTTTCCACTTTTACAGTGATTGAGCAGCATCTTGATCCTACCTTGTGGAGATTCCCAACTAGTACATCAACATTGTAAGCAGAATTATACCGTCTTGGCTTTGGTTAAGCTCCTCTGCTTAGCTAAAGGTCCTGCTAAGCTGCTGTGTTGTGTTTGACTCTTGCTTTGGTTGATAAAAGATCTTAACCAAGAGAACAGATGTTTGGGGGGAAATATAAATATAGCTTTGCGGGGCAGGGATCTAATAATTTATGTTGCTAACTTGTGCTTGGATGTTAATCTGCTGAAAGTCATATTGGTTTTTGGTATTTTGTTTTCTCTTCCATAGTTGTGGTGACAGTACATGGAGAGGTATGTGCTGAACATATCTGTGTGGTTTGTACAGATTGCTGGGCCCATTCTGCCAACATGATAGATTCTGTGTTGAAAAATTCTGCTCAAGTCAGTATTGCTTCATTGTTGTCCTTTGTGTATGTGAGCTGCTGCCATTCCAGGCCTTTCCTCTCCCAAAACGCCATCTTCAATGTGCTATATGTGAACAGGTAGGAGAGCAGTACAGGTGAAAGGATGCCTAGAGCATTTGGTGCTCCCATGTTGAGATTGATGATTTTGTTGGGGATGAAGGCAGATGTGGGCACAATTTCTACATATTTTATAGCCTTTACTAATTTAGCAGAGGTTTAAATATAATGAGCATATTGTAATAATACTCACCTTTGTTTGTACTTTAGATTGATCCTGTTACAGGAATGGTTATGAATTTGACTGACCTCAAAGGGTATATGGAGGTAATGGCATATTTGATGCTTATTATGTGCTGTCTTCTAAGTATAACATTTGATGGTTCCCTTTGCATTTTCTCAACCAAGGATCTCCAGAGGTTCCGTGATGGTGTGAGTGGAATTGGGTGTGGGAGTGGGGGAATAGCTGGGAACTCTTTCATGTTTTTCTAATGGTGTTTGGGTTACTTGATGGAAATTAGTCACAGTTCTATTAACAATTACGGGAATAAATGTAGCATGCTCATCTTGTATTGCTTGTTGGCATACCCTGATTTTTCCTGTATTTAACAAATTCTTCTGTTTTCTCAAATGCAGCTTTTCTTGAAGCTTTTTTTTTCTCTGAATTTTCCTTATGCCTTTGACCATAGATTTTAATACTATCCTGTTTTATTCACTCTAGCATTATTATAAAGTCAGTGGGGCAGTTCATCATAAGGATAACACAAAATAATGTGTTCAGCAAAAAACTTACTGATTGTATCATTTAATTCTCTCATTGTAAGAGACCTTTGATAATATCTAAGCCAATTTATTCATGCCCTAGATTGAGATATGATTAACAGTTAACTGACTTTCCCTAGGGCATATAGTTAATCCTTTACAAAGGTGGGAGTGGAGTTCCTTTAGCTTGGTTTTTATTATGCCATCATTTCACCTGTTTATTTAGTTCTTTGCTTCAGGTTTGTTTCTTTCTTCTGTTCTTAAATTTAGCATTTGTTTCATAAAATGCTGTTACTGATTGTCATTACTTCTTTCACGTTACTTATCATCCACATATTCAAGTTAGCCTATTTTGCATCAGTGTTTGAGCTAAGTACTAAGAATGCAGAGATGAATGAGACATAGAGCCCTTATACACGGAGTGCTCATATTATTTTTTTCTAGAAAGTAAAGAATAAGTTCTCACAGGGTGAAGGAATTGAGAAGTACAGATTGGTAGTTACAGAATAGTCATGGGAATGTGGGGATGTAAAGTACAGGAAATATGGTCAGTAACTACAATAACTATGTATGGTGCCAGGCGGGTACTGGGAATATTGGGGGGACACTTTGTAAAGTGTATGATCGTCTAACCACTATACTGTACATCTGAAACCAGTATAAAATAATATTGAATGTAAAGTGTAAGTGAAAAAATTTTGTAAATAAGTTAAAAAATTGAAAAAAACTAAGTTCTCAGTAAGTTGGTTGAATAGATGAATAAGAATGAGTAAATGAACAAAGACGACTGTGCTCAAAGTACTTTTGGAAAGCTGTAAAGACAGTTTTTGCATTTATTTGAATCATAAACTACATAATCACAGCGTGTTATTCAATAATACAAGACAATAATATGAGAAATATGAGATATACCAAGCAAGCAATACGATGAAATACATCTTTGTACAGCACTTTGAAGAACACGACACATTCCCATCAGTAAAAGTGACTCTTCGTGGCATATAGTCAAGTTACAAAGCCTCCTGTTGAGGAGGCTTCAATGGAAAAGTTGGGACTTGAACTGGAATCTGAACTGTTTCATCTGAAGATGAAACAAAGATAGGTATTTTATTGGTATCCATGTGGATATCATATGATTTATTTTAAAGTTTGTTTGGTTTAGGACCTGTTATTTTTATGGTTCTGGTTTTGCTAAAAAATGATTGCTATTCTTATTATCAATGTACCCTTGTTGGACCATACTATATGGAAAAATAGATTGCTTAGATTTTGTACAATCTAGCTAAAAGTAAATACCTAGAAAATATTTAGTTTTGTACAATTTAGGTAAAAACTTAGAATTAAGGCAATAATAATTCTTGCCCATTCATATGGGAAAACATTTGTTAATATATGTGAGCATTAGGAAACAATAACATTTATGTTTTATATTTTTTCTTCTAAGAGTTCAAGGTTATTCTTAAATTACTCCTTATAGGACAAATTTAGAACTATTAATATAATTTCAGTGTAGGTCTCTTTTATAAAATGTGGTACTCATTGAATCTTTGTCCATTGACATTGTGGCATTGTCTTGAAGGTGAGAGTGTTATGGAGAAGTATTTCTAGTAATTTTTTGGACAGAATACAGTACATGATAAATTGAATTCTAAATCACAATGGCTTGTTATGAGAAAGCTCCAGTGAATTCTCTACTTCTTGGTTTTTTAATCTCTTTGATCTCTTTTTTAATCTCTTTTCAATAATTAGGATAACCAGTCATTATGGAGAACTTACTTTATTTCACAATTTTAAACTTTCTGAAATGCTTTGTAAGACACAGATAAAATACTTTACAATTATTTGTAAAATTATTTCACAATTCTAAACTTTCTAAAATGCTTTGAAAGACACAGATAAAATACTTAAATGTATTGAGTTAGTGGTTCAATGATAAGTTTTAGAGGCAAAGGTGGAACACTTTGGAATTTGAGTCATAAATGGAATTGATGTTTTGCCTTTGTTTTGCCTATAGGAGGCAATTATGAAGCCCCTTGATCATAAGAATCTGGATCTGGATGTGCCATACTTTGCAGATGTTGTAAGGTGGGTGTGACTATTCTACCTAAAATATAGTAAGAAAGAATTGATTTTAACATTTTATCTAATTATTTCTTGATTTCTGAAGTTTGTTTAATGATACCTTTTTAAAAATAATATTTCTGTTTTCTAAAAATATTAAACATGACATTTTATTTATTAGTCTTTTGATCTTTCCTTCTCTTCTACAGCACGACAGAAAATGTAGCCGTATATATCTGGGAAAATCTCCAGAAATTTCTTCCTGTGGGAGTTCTTTATAAAGTAAAAGTATATGAAACTGACAACAATATTGTAGCCTATAAAGGAGAATAGACTTTAGGGGTTAAAATACTATAGGAAAATTTAATTTCTTTCCAAATTTGAAAAGTGTCTTTATCTCCTTGGGCTATTAAGAAGTTATCACATAATTATTGCACTTCCACATTGTACTCTGGAGTGCCTCATTTATTGAAATCATTGTGAGTAAAACTTGTTTAAATTCAAATGTATTTTAAAACCAAATATGTTAATTTATCCTGAGTATTGTTTAGAGAGTCTGTTTTGTACAGATTAAAAATCACTTCATTTCAGCCCTGACCGGTGTGTGGCTTGGTTGGACATTCTTCCACAAAGGAAAAGGTCACCAATTCTATTCCAGTCAGGACACATGCCCGTGCTGCGTGTTTGGTTTCTGGTTGGGGTGCTTGTGAGAGACAACTGACTGCTCAGTGTTTCTCTCCCTCTCTTTCTCCCAACCTCCCCTCTCTAATAATTTTTTTAAAAAGTCACTTCATTTCAGCAAAATGTTTTGGTGTATAACTGTTTGAAAGAAGAAACAATCTATTTTTGTTATTTTATTATCTCATCTTTAGTATTCATTGTTTTTTGTTCTAATATAAATAACAGAGGTGTTTATAAGACTTATAATAGATGAATCTTCTAAAAAATTAAAAGGTGTAACCACAAAGTCTGGAAACAGATTTCTTAATAGATTGAACTCTCTGGTTACTTCTTTTAAGATACGCTATAGGCACAAATTTATTCAGTGAAAATTAGAAACACCAATCATATGAGGCAATACATTGTGGGTGGACGTATAGGATTTGTGGAAATGCTGTCTCAGTGCACATTGTTCACTGCAGCTTTGCGTAGCTTATTATTGAAATATGCCTTCCTAGTGAGGAATAGCACATTGAGCATCTCATAGAGTATCAGTAAACTTATTATTATGGATATTTGTTTATGTTTCCAAACTTTATGGGGGACATGAACAATTTTAACTCAGAAGACAAAGCAGGGACCACAGATCTCCTTGTTGTTACTATCATGTTAATTATCAACTGTTAACTCGCTATACCCACCTTTGTAAAAGAAGTGTGTGTTTCACTTGTTATCCATTCCCAGAGATCTCCCTGCTCTGATTTCTCCCTCCTCCTAATGCATCAGCAATGAATTTCGTGTAACCCCAGTATGTGTCCTCCTCTGATTGTAATGTATAAAATAAAGTGCAAAACTGTCATTTTCTGGAGCATTTTCTCAATTTGTTGGGATTTTGTTTTCAGCCAATTGTCAGTTTAACTCGAATTCATAAAAATCCTTACAAGTTTGGATGTTTCTAGGGAAATATAAATCTTTGAAGCATGATCCTTGAAATTAAAATCAACTCCAAGGTGAGACATTAAGAAAAAAATTGTATTGACTATAGCACTGTGAACAGAATGACCAGAATTCAGCAGTAGTTTATATTGTCTTAGTTGATGTAGTCACCGTCACTGGGTTATAAAAATGGCCAGAATAATATCAGCTGCGATACAGCCCATATATGTGATCACTAATAGACTAGACCCATGAGAAGCGTCCATTTTGTTTTTTAACCTCCAAACTTTCACATTCATCTTGAAAATGGAATTATCTTAAAGATGGGAAACAGATTGTGTTCATTTTGTTTTTGTTATGTCTGGTATTTCTAGCCTCCCTTGTACGTACAGAAATCATTATTAGTTTCACACAATTTAACTTTATAGCAAGATTCTGTTGCAAGACACTGTTGGAAAATGTCCCAGATAAACACTGTGTCCACATAGCTGCAGAAAGAACTGCTTATCACCACAAAAGAAGCAGGGGAAGGTGGTTTGTGCGCTGGTGGATTTTTAAGCAGGAGTTTTGCTTTCAAGTAGCTCTGCAGTTGGTTTGTGTCCTTCAAAAATCCACCCACCCTCTCCCACGAGTGTTGCGTCACCACTGAGACCAGAGTAGTATTAGCATTTAAAAAGAGAATTAGAACACTGCTTTTCTTTCCTTTTCCCTTTTCTGTTCTTGTTGGCTAAAGAAATGATATCCCAGCCTTTTATTCTTAAAGATGCCCAAGAAACAAGTCCTTGGTACCTCTGCCTAAGTTCACCTTCATCCAGCCAGTTTACTAGTCAGTAAAAATTCCCCATTTAGTATGATAAGTATGAAATCAATTGAAAAACCCTTTTCATTTTTCACAAATATCTTACTATGAGCACTGTGGCCAATAACAACCTGAAGAAATAGAAAGGCTAGTTTTATCTTCTACCTTTCAATGTATTTGCCCACAGACAGAGCCATAGATGGGTAGTGGGGTATCTCAGGGGCATCTCAAACTTAACATTTCCAAAGTGAATTTCTTATTTCTCCTTCAAAATGTATTCTTCACCAATCTTCCCTAAAAATGCCACTACCATCCATTTATTTTTTCAAGCCAGAAATCTAGGAGTTAGTCTTGATTCTCACCTCTTACATCTAATCTATCAAAGTTATATAGGTTTTACCTTTAACATATATAATGATTTTGTCTGTATTTCCAATGCTAGCATCCCAGTCCAACTGCCAGCATTTCTTGCCTGGGTTACTCACATGGCCTCTTAACTGATCTGCTTTCCCTATGGTTCTCTCCTGCACTCCTGTCACCAACACTCCTCTCCCTACCATGTTACTCCTTGAAAGCTTCCTCTTGCTTTTAAAATACAATCCAAACTCTTCCCACTAGCCTGCCAAGCTCTGTATGAACCGTTCTACTCCCCAGCCTGAAGCTGTTCACTGTGTTTTGGTGACATTGGCCATTTCTCAGGTCCTAAGGCACATCAATTTCTTTCCTTTCTCAAGATCTTTGCATTTTCAGCCTGTTAACAAAAATCTTTAAGGCTGAAAGTGGCCCTGACAGAAGGGGTTTATTGAGCCTCCTCCTAGCCAGAAAAGGACCAGGTCCTGGGGCATGCAGTCTAAACCAGCAGCAGCAGCAGCAGCAGCAGCAGCAGCAGCAGCAGCAGCAGGGTAAGATGGAGACTACAGACACGTCACCATCCTAGAGTTGATAGGCCTTTTTCATACAGTGAGTTTGGGGAAGAAGTAAGTTGTTTTTTTTAAGAAGTTACATTGGCTGGAGATAAACCAGGCAGGAAACGATGAAGGGGAGAAAGTTTGGGGGTAGTGGATAGTCCATGAGGGGAAAGTATCCAATGCTTCTGGATGGGTTGTGGGCAACAGTACAAAAGGTTCATGCGTAGGCAGGATGTGGTTGGTGGTAGGCTGATCTTTCTAGATAGCTTCCTGGAACTTCATGCAGAATTTTAACATACATTCAGGAATGGGAGTACTCTTATTGGTTTCGGTCTGCTCTAGTTCACTGGTTAATCTTCCTTGTCTTTTCCTCTAGTCTGCTATAATTTAACATAGGACATCTTAAAGTTTTTCTCTTGTCATGCTCTTCTGTTTAGAATGCTGCCCCTGTCCTCTACCCCAACCCCTTCATAAAACCTATCAGTCTTCAGATCCCAGCCTAAGTGTCGCCCTTTCGATTACCCAGTATAGGTGGAAACCCTCTGCTATTTTCTATCAATAATATCCAAATACTCCCTTATCTTGCATTTTTAAAATTGGATATGTATTTCTTTTATTATATTTATTTGCTGTTTGTCTGTGCCACCCACAAGGATGTCAAGTTCACGAGGGCCAGAGCCTTGTCTACCTTATTTATTCTTTTTGCCTCAGGACTTAGTTCAGTGCCTGCTGCATAACAGATGCTGAATAATTAGGTAGTGAATGAGTGACAGTGCCTGCCATCTCTAAGGAACTGTTGAACCTGGCTTGGTAACATTTTTTGAGATTTAATACCAAACTTTCAAACATACTTCAGAAAGGGGTTTAGTTATTTATGTGCTTGAGTTTAGATAACAACCACAAAATAAAATAAATCCTCTAAGTATTCCTCCAAACCTGTGAATCTGGCTAACTGTTGTCCTGGAAATTTTCCATTTCTGGGTAAAATTTATTTTAGTTCCTAACTAGCAACTAATGTAACTAAAGATAAACTAGAATTCTGAATCAGGGATCTTCCAGTAAACTGCAGTCCTTAAGACCACACTGTAATTTGTTAGTAGCCCAGACGCAGGGCTCATTGACAAGGTTGGTTCATAATTGTTGTCTTAGCCTGTGGGGAGTAGGTTTAACTCAGCCAGGGAGGGCCTCAGCTTGTCTTGCAGAGAATGCTTCTTTTTTAAAAATTATATTTTGTTGATTATGCTGTTATAGTTGTTCCAATTTATACCCTTTTGCCCCCCTCGTCCCAGCACCTGTACTCCCTCAGGCAATCTCTACACCATTGTTCATGTCAATGGGGTCCATAAGTTCTTTGGTTACTCCATTTCCTACACCATACTTTATGTCCCCATGGTTATTCTGTAACTACCTATTTGTACTTCTTAATCCCCTCACCTCTTCACCCATTCCCCTATACCCACTTCCATCTAACAACCATCAAAATGCTTTCCTTATCCATGATTCTGTCTGTGTTCTTGTTTGCTTAGTTTTTTTTTTTAGATTAAATTGTTGATAGGTATTTATTACCATTTTATTGTTCATACTTTGGATCTTTTTCTTAAATAAGTTTCTTTAATATTTCATAGAATAATGGTTTGGCGATGAACTCCTTTAGCTTTTTCTTGTTTGGGAAGCTCTTTATCTGTCCTTTGATTCTAAATGATAGCTTTGCTAGGTAGAGCAATCTTGGCTATAGGTCCTTGCTTTTCATGACTTTGAAAATTTCTTGCCAGTCCCTTCTGGCCTGCAAAGTTTCTTTTGAGAAATCAGTTGGAAGTCTTTTGGGGTCTCCCCTGTAGGTGACTAACTGCTTCTCTCTTGCTGCTTTTAAAATTCTCTCTTTGTCCTTAAGCTTTGAAATTTTAATTGTGATGTGTCGTCTTGTGGGCCTCTTTGGATTCACCTGGTTTGGGATGCTCTGTGCTTCCTTTACCAAATTAGGGGAATTTTCTTTCCTACATTTTTTTTTCATTTCCTGTATTTCCCCAGATATAATTCCAATTTCTTGCTCTTTCTCTTCTCTTTCTGGCACCCCTATAATGCAAATGTTGGAATGCTTGAAGTTGTCCCAGAGGCTGCTTACACTGTCCTGTTTATTTCTGATTCTTTTTTGTTGCTGTTGTTATAATTGATTCTTTTTTGCTTTCTTATGTTCCAAATCATTGATTTGATTCTTGGCTTCATTCACTCTACTGTTCATTCCCTGTTAATTGTTCTTTATTTCAATTAATGTGTCCTTCATTTCTGACTGGATCTTTTTTATGCCGTTGAGGTCCTCACTAGGTTCCTTGAGCATCTTTATAACCAGTGTTTTGAACTCTGCATCTGATAGGTTGCTTATCTCCACTTTGTTCAGTTCTTTTTCTGGAGTTTTGATCTGTTTTTTCATATGAGCCATGTTTGTTTATCTCCTCAGTTTGGCAGCCTCCCTGTATTTGTTTCTATGTACTAGGTAGATAGCTGCTATGACTTCCTGTCATTGGTAGCACAGCCTAATATAGTAAGTGTCCTGTGTAGTTCAGAGGCACAGTCTCCCCTATCCCCTGTCCTGGGTTCTCAAGGTATGCCCTTTGTGTTGGCTGAGTACACCTGCCTCTTGTAGTTGAGCCTTGGTTGCTGTTGGCATATCAATGGGAGGGATTAACCCAGGCCAGTTAGCTACAAGGTTTGGCTGTGACCACTGACCATTAACTTCCACCCTCCATGGAGGATCAGCTGTGCAGGGGCAGAGTGGTGATGCTCTGATGTGGTCTGTAGCTGTCCACTGGGTGCATTGGGCCTGGTGTTTCCTGGGTGTTAAAGGCCAAGGTTAGCCCTGACCTGTGTTTTGCCAGGGGCCATACTGCCTGAGCTATAAAGTAATGGCTGTTACTTGTGTTGGGCATTCCCAGGCACAGCCAAGCTGTGAACCTAGGCCGGCACTGCTAGAATGGGGCTTGTGGACACTTAGCAAGAGGTACAGGGGTTGGGGGAATCACTGAGGCCAGCTGTTGCGTGTTTGAGAGGATTTAGGAAGTTGTGAAGTTTGAGCCAAACCATCCATTCATACGGAAAAGCCACTGTCAATAGTGAATGAAACAGAGCTTCAGGATTTCCAGAGCAGGGCAAACAGTGTAAGCCAGGTTGATGAAGTCTGAGCTGTGGCCTGCTGGCTCTATGGCTTTGTGTGGGGAGGGTTCAGAAAAG